TGCACCATCATGCAGCCTGGGGACTGCTCCTCCACCGTGGCCCACTGCGGTGAGAGATTTTCCCCCCTGCACTTGATTTGAGCCCCCCCCAACTCAATCCCCTCCATACCCATTCCTCCTCCACCTGACCCTGCACCTCTCCAGCTTCCCCCTGCTTCTGGGATCCCTCCCTGATTCCCCGCCCTTGGCCTATGCGCCCCACACTTCCCGCCTCCCCAGCTGCCGGGAGCCCCCCCCCCAATCTCCCCGGTAGCCCTGGCCTCACCCTGTATTCCCCTCCCCGCTGTGTCTCTAGTGCCCCAGAACCCCATCCCGTCGGAGCTGCTGGAGAACGCGCTGTGCGGCCTGGCCATCGCCCTGGGCATCTTCTTCATGGTCACCGGGATCGTCCTCCTCCTCAAATCCCGCAGGCCCAGCCCCACAGGTACGCCAGGGCGCTGCCCCAGCTGGGGATGGGGGGGAGTCTAGTGGGTTAGAGCGGCAGGACTGGGAGGGGATTGGGGTCTATTGGGGTAGAGCAGCGAGGGCTGGGGGCCAGGACTCCTGGGTTCTCTCCCCAGCTCTGGGAGACGAGTGGGGTCTAGTGGGTTAGAGCTGGGGGGTCTGGGCACCAGGACTCCTGGATTCTATCCGTGCCATTGAATCTCCTTGTTCTGTGTTTTCACCCTCAGAGTGAACTCCGAGTGGCTGGAAACGCCCGAAGAACTATGAGGAGATGCCCCGTGTCCCCCGAACCCCTCCCTGTTCCAGCCTCCCCAGCCCTTGGGAACTGTGGGAAAGGCAGTTCCTGGACCAGCTGCAGTCAGCATGGTGCTGAGACCGGACACACTCACTACACACGGGCCACGTCCGTGGGAACCTGGTGCCTCTCCTCCAGGGTACCCCGCTCTGCCCCCTCCAGCATTCCAGCCGTGCAGCGTGCCTGGGGCAGACTCCGACCCCCGGCCTGTGCCGGGGTCGCCCCACTCCGGAGTATTGGTGCCTTATCCAGCCTCCTGCTAATAAAGGTCTATTTCCTGGAGCTGTCGTGCCTCTGCCCGTCTATATCCGGACCTCTCCCCATGGGCCCCATAGCCCTCCCCCCAGGCCACCTCTACCCCCTCTCCTGTCCTGCAGGGACCCCGCTGGGGGGCGGAGGGGAGCTCACACGCTGCAGCCAGTTCAGCCCTCGGCGAAGGGGCCGGTTACTGCCTGTGCCGGGGGCACCTGCCCTGCTAGGATCTCGGCTGAGCCCCACCAAATTCGTGACACTGATCAGAACCTGTCTCCCATTCCCTGCCCCCCTGAGCCAGCCAGTCCCTGGCCTGGAGCGGTATCGGAACCAGCGCCCCCCCGAAGGGAAAGGCCCCGTGTCCCATTCCCTGCCCCCCTGAGCCAGCCAGTCCCTGGCCTGGAGCGGTATCGGAACCAGCGCCCCCCCGAAGGGAAAGGCCCCGTGTCCCATTCCCTGCCCCCCTGAGCCAGCCAGTCCC